CCTCCGGACACCCGCGGCGAAGATCCCCTTTTTTTTCCCCATTATAATTAGCGCTCCCGGTACCAAGATCAACGCCACTGCCGCCACTGCCACCAAACACGGAAAACTCGACCGCATGAAAAATGCTCTTCCGCCACTTCTGCGCCGGCTGCTGCACGCCTTGAGAAACACTATTTTTCTTACTCCCGTTTCCACGACTCGAATCGTTTGTTATAATGTACATTTATAATTATCCTGCCCATACCGAACGTTAAACTAACGCGGGTCGATATCGACACACGGCCGGATATTACGAACAAGTACATCGAGCTAAGAAGGAAGGGAAAAAGAATGGGAGGCCGAGCTGTGCATGGGTCGTAAACGTGTCGGCGTGCTCGTTTTTCTAAAAGTTCTAACGAGTTTACGACGTGGTGGCGCGGCTGTCAGTGGACGTCATTAAAAAAGAGTAATTTTGTCGAAAACTAATTAGCAAGAAAAGAGCGCTCACCTGGACAAATCACCATAATTTTAATTGCTCTCACATCCCGCGTCGTTGAAGAACAGAGGGCGAGTAGGGGGGGGGGGGCACACACAAGCTCACACGGGCAGAGCACACGAGGTATATAATAAGGACGACAAGTTCCGTTTGCCGGCGCAACTCCCATGACTCGTCTTTTTTTTTTTTTTTTTTTTTTTCTCCTCTTCTTCCTTTCAATAACGTCTCCATCTCTCTCCCCTCTCCATGCATACATGTGTGTAACGTTACGGTTGCAGGTATGCGCACATGCGAGTAGAGCATAAAAATGCGGCTCATTTGCTCAGCAACAGCGCACAGTTTTTCGGGCTGACGTTTCAATCGCTCGCTCCTTGCAGCACATATACACACATACACCTATAAATGTATACCTTATATATTATATACAGCTATGGTATCATTAACCGGGACATGGATATAATCGAGTTAATTCTTGACACGAAGCGCCTTTCCGCGATGTAGGGGGTGGATGGTAGAACAATGAAGCGCGGATTTAAGGGAGTCCTTTGCAAGGAATTTGGAGCAAAGGCAATTTGCTCTTTGATTTCCTAGGCCCGGGGTTGAGTATACGGTTGAGCTCGTCTCGGGGATACGACAATACCTATACCACCGCAAGCATGCTCGTAGAGAAATTCATTAATCACGCGCCGCGTGGTCATTGTATATAAGGGATGCTAAGGCTCGCGTACACGAATCACACAAGCCGATCGATGATCATCTATGCTCAATTGCGTTATATATTGCACGTGTGTATACATAAAAAATAAATATAAAAGAATGTATACCAGCTACGGAAAGTATACAGGTTTGGCTATTTTAATTGCCGCGTGGCACGTATGTGTACGAGAATGAATAATAGACGAGTATGGGGGGTGGATCTTATATATACGTATACCGACGAGCGAATAAGTCATTGGGTCTGGCGTGGAGCGAAATTGGCGAATAGAGAGAGAGAGAGAGAGAGTGAGTAGGTATAGTGTGGGCGCACTGCAGAAGGAAATAACTGGTGGCTCTGATTATTCGCGCCAGCGGGAGAGAGAGAGAGAGAAATAAAAGGAGCAGATAAGGAGCAGTAGCAACCCCCCCGTGCGCGATGGCGTGCAGCTACTGTCCAACGACGTATACTAGGAAGCCTGGATATTCGATTCTAAGAAAGGGAGACGGAGAGAGACGGCTCTCTTTCGAAATGACAGGAGAGTGGGGGTGAACCGATAAGGGCCCCCATCAGGCGTGCTTTTCGACTCCCTCGAATAAATATAATCTCATTTGCATGAATAAAAGCAGCGCTGCAGTCGTTGTGCCCGTTGCCACCTTCGTCGTCTTCGTCGTACCGTTTCGCTTAGCGTTTAGTTCCGAGCACGCGACGGCCAATATATGTGCCGACAGGAGGAGGGGCCTACATGCGCGACGATTACCTATATGTATACCTACCGCCTGTATTTTCATGCACATCCACATGAGCTCGAATGAAAGAGAAAATATAGTAGATGCCTGTCGGGCGAAATCACTTTCGCGAGAATCCCGGGGAATTTCAAGCTCGTCCGCCACGCGTTCAAAGGTATACCTACATATTTATACTTAACCATTGACCTGCACAAGTGCCACTTGCGCCATTGTTATCATAGTATAATCATTATATTTTATATATAGTTCCTGCAACCTCCACGTATTTACCGTCGCCAGCTGGATTTCTCGGGGCTTATCTGATCATAATATTATATAACAATACACACGATGTGTATGAGCGTTGGGTATATTGATTGGCCATGCAAATTTACAAAATACCCGCGAGATTACGTGCACGCAGGCTATTGTTTTCGTTGCCTGTATCTATATATATATATATAATACACACTCACTGCACTCGGGTATTAATATATCGTTCGCGGGAAATAATAATGATGATTTGATTTGTTATCGTTTTCTGCATGGCGGCTCTTATAAATATATTTATACGTGGCCGTGAATCGCGCCGCGCGGTAAAATCATCGGGGGTGGGGGGCACAGTTAAACCGAAAGGGGACACCTCTCGGGCAAATGACGACTCTAATCGATCAAGTCGCGCTCCGAGACCCGACCAACGCTCCCATAAACTACGCGCCAAGATAAAATAAAACGGGAGAGCGTTGCAGCAGGACCTACCTCTATCCTACAAGGACTATTTTATACCCCACAATTTCCCCTGCACGTATATACAACAAGTATATACTTATACACCTATATATATGTGTATTCGCGTTCGATATCGCTGTGGCGTTTATACACATAAGTACACATTTCTCTCGACTCTCTTTCTCCCTATAGGCTCGTATATATATATATAAGTATACACACGTACAAAGTAAAGGCGACGACGCGAACTGGGCTTCGATATAACGTATTCCGCGCGCGTACGCGAGCATAATTGGCCGCCAACTGCTGTACTGCAGCTCGCGCGACGACGACAACGGCGATGGCGACGCTCTCTCTCTCTCTCTCTCTCTCTCTTCTTATATTCTTTCAACTTAACTTTGCAAGCGGTATACCTACAGGCATATATTATGGCACTGTACCGAGGCGGCCGATCGCGAGGAGCTATCGCCGGGACAAGAAATTATTCTTTAATTAATTGTCAGTAACGCTATATAAACCTTCCTCTTCTTCTTCTTCTTATCCCCTTCGCTGCTGGTGCTGCTTATTGGCAGGCGTGCACCGTAATATACTATTCTTTGTGCCTCCTCTCGTTCGGTAAGCACAATGATAGTATTACCAGATCTTTACGATTTTCCTCTCTTTTTTTCTTACCGATTTTTTTTAGTTACCAACGGTATTTTTCACAGCAGCCAAGAAACTAACGATACCCGTGACAATATTCTTTAAATTTCATTACTTGTGTTAAATTTCATCCCTCGCTCGTGATGCAGCTGGTACCTTCAACACATGTCGTTTGACGCGACAAGTTTCTCTTTCTTTCTTCCCACACTTTGTACTTTGTAACTCAAGTATGTAATATATAGTTTTGCCCCGAGAAAATTTTATCGAGCAACGAGCCACCGAAGAGATATTTTCCCGATTTGACGAATCGTGCAGGAGAGTACGGACGGCAGAACTCTCGTGACGAGAGAGGGGGGGGAGTGTGGAATCGGTGGTGCTGGTTGTTGTATTTTTATTTGCCGGTCCATATCAGCAGCCGACGTTTGGACAATCAGAGGAGGAAAAGACGAGCGAGTGAGAAAGAGGGAACGTGAATTTTGTGCGTAATCGGGAAGATCTCGGGGACCTTTGCGGTGGGCATATAGGCCGTTCGATTTCTCTCTCTCTCTCTCCGAGGCGGCTCGCTCCTTTGATCGAACACTGCACAGCAGTCCTGAGAAACAGCGGCGGCCAACTTACCGATCTGGACCATCTCTCCCACCCCGCTCGCTCGTTTTCTTGCCTCCGGACACCCGCGGCGAAGATCCCCTTTTTTTTCCCCATTATAATTAGCGCTCCCGGTACCAAGATCAACGCCACTGCCGCCACTGCCACCAAACACGGAAAACTCGACCGCATGAAAAATGCTCTTCCGCCACTTCTGCGCCGGCTGCTGCACGCCTTGAGAAACACTATTTTTCTTACTCCCGTTTCCACGACTCGAATCGTTTGTTATAATGTACATTTATAATTATCCTGCCCATACCGAACGTTAAACTAACGCGGGTCGATATCGACACACGGCCGGATATTACGAACAAGTACATCGAGCTAAGAAGGAAGGGAAAAAGAATGGGAGGCCGAGCTGTGCATGGGTCGTAAACGTGTCGGCGTGCTCGTTTTTCTAAAAGTTCTAACGAGTTTACGACGTGGTGGCGCGGCTGTCAGTGGACGTCATTAAAAAAGAGTAATTTTGTCGAAAACTAATTAGCAAGAAAAGAGCGCTCACCTGGACAAATCACCATAATTTTAATTGCTCTCACATCCCGCGTCGTTGAAGAACAGAGGGCGAGTAGGGGGGGGGGGGCACACACAAGCTCACACGGGCAGAGCACACGAGGTATATAATAAGGACGACAAGTTCCGTTTGCCGGCGCAACTCCCATGACTCGTCTTTTTTTTTTTTTTTTTTTTTTTTTCCTGCCCCCCCGATGTACCTGCTGTACCTACCTACACTCCACCTTCTCCTCTTCTTTTTTTCCTTCTCTCCACCTCTCTCCTATGGCGGTTTTGTTGCTCTCAGCCATCGAGCATCCACTTCCGAAGAACATCTTCATTCATCGTAATTTTATACCGCGCTTTTCTATTGCGCAAAAAAAAAAGACGACGACGACGACATGCCAATAAAAATAGTCAGTGTGCACAATGTTACAAACGCAATTACAATTGAACATGCGCACACGTTGCGTTTGGAAAATTCAAAATTTGGGTCAATGAGATGGTGATGATGACACGAATTCAATAGTTACAAGTAGTCTCGATAAATATTGAAATCACTTTTATTTCACGTTCACGCGAAATCGTGTGGCCAAGTTAAATAATCATATTACATTTATACAGATTTCACGTAGGTACAATCTAAATCAATTATGTTCGCACTGTGATCGACGCATCATATTTTACTTTCGTTAGATATTTCTCCAGCGTCTCGACATAATTCACGTAAATACATTATTTACACAGTTTGCCACAATCTGCACTTTTACATCTCGCAATATGTTCACGCTACTCTGTATGTACACTTTCAAATAAATAATTTGTCCTCCCCGAGCTGCCGTCTCGACTAAATGACGCAGGCTCAATGTGCTCCGGTTTGCTTGATCAATTAGAAAAACAAAATGCAACTTTTGACAAGTGGTCGGCCGCAATCGACGAATAATAATCATAATATGTTTAAATAAGCTCGGAAAACAGCTTGAGTCGACAAAAACCGACGTGCTTCGAAGCGAAGATTTTTATAAAAATACAATTGCCAAAAGACACCGTCATCGTTACTATTACCATTGGATGAGCAAACACATTTTTTTTCATTTTTTTAAAATTTAAACATTGAAATTCACGGAGTCGATCAACTCGTCACTCATGACGTAGCCTTCAAAATAAAGTAACATATGTTTTCGGGTTGCATCAACAGTACCTTTTTCGGTTCAGCGCACACAATGTCACGTACCTATATCCCTATTTACACTATGTACATATAAATATATTTATATAGATGTATATATCAATAAAGTAAATTCATAAGAGTGAACAGCAGATTATTAGATGAGAATTCGTATATTGTGGGCCCATCTTTCTTGCGTATCGGCTACAGCTTCGCCAGTCATCGGTTCCTCCTTTACGCAGCGTCAAACAGCTTACGGAGAGGTAAAACGTGATGGCATAATTACACCAGTGGGGGCATCAGTGCCCAAACAGAGGGAGTAAGACAGTACTCGGGTTCGTAGGGCGATGCACCGGAGGCGCTGAGATCATGCCATTGCAGGTGTGTGCCAATAGAGGAGGGGAAAACAATAAAAGAACAATGCAAAGGATGAGGGTCGCAGGGGGGGGGGAGAGAGATGGGCCTAGGGTCGGTGTCCGGGTGGCGTCATGAACATGGCGGCGGCGGCGGCGTGCGAGTGCCTGGCCATCGCCGCGGCTATGAAGGGCGGCACGGCTGGACTGCCGGGCGGCCCGACACCCGAGAACATCAGGCTCGAGCCGAAGCTCGGGTGGAGCAGCGGCCTCGCCGACAGCCTCAGCTTCTCTATCTCCGCCTCCTGCAGCCGCTTCGCCTTGGCTCGCCGGTTCTGGAACCAAATCTTCACCTGCAAAGCACACCAGAAGATCCAGACTATGTTTTTTTTTTTTTTTGTTTTTTTTTCCTTAACTCCTGGGGCTTGCGGTCTGGTACAAAAATCAACCAAATCAGTGGTGTATCAACTGCTCCACTAGCTTATCCCAATCGTATGAATATATATATTTTTTTTCTTTGGTATTCGGATGAGTTGATCAACCACCGATTTGGTTATTTTTTGAATGCCTATTCAACACTTTAACGTAATGCACTTTAAAAAAAAAAATCATAACCATGCACTTTTCAACTGTCCTTTCAAAACGCATCACTTGAATGAATAGTGCGATCGACTGTCTTATACGTAAGGGTACTTACCAAATAATTTTCTATTGTAAAATATAAAACCACTAAAAAATGGTTAAGCGTATCTACAATTTTTTTTGATTAATTCTATAATTTTTAACGTCACAGGCGGGTACGAGAGATCCTTCAACAATGAATATTGCACGTAAATATGTGTTCAGATAGTTCACGAGATTTGAACCGGGTGTAGCCGGGACTACGGGCTCGTCTCTCTACCATCTGTACAATATACTTAAGATATTTTAACGTATTAAATTGTACTGTTACGAAATTTGTGAGTTGAGAAAGTTACGATTAGCGTAAAGGTAACAAATAAATTATAGACGCGTAAAAAGTTTAATGATTTTTTGCACGGCAATAAGAGAGTGAGTGGCAAAACTCCTCAATTGTACATTAAAGTCACCCAACACCGAGTACATTTCATTTGTACAATAAGTCGAGCCGCAGTCGCCGACGAGAAGGCTATATATGTACGTAGGTACAGGCAGAGACCGCGAAAATCAATACCCTACGCGTACCTAGCGGTGCGCCGAAAGCGTCACTCCCTGCGACCTCGTCCATGCCCGGCTGGACGAAAGTACCTAACATTGAAATAGAAAAAAAAAAAAAAAACACCGCAATATTGTGGCTGACATGAATAACGTTGACTGTCGGTTCTTCGCTAGGTGTGGGTAGGGGGATTTTTTATGAAAAGTCCATAGACACTTACCTGTGTCTCGGTGAGGTGGAGCGACGAGGAAAACTCGGCCCTCTCGGCGATCGTCAGATACTGCTTTTCGCGAAACTTCTTCTCCAGCGAGAGCAGCTGCTGCGTCGTGAAGGGCGTCCTCGGCTTCCTGTTGGGCTTGTGCTTCCGCAGCGTGCACCTCACCGGGCCGGGCCCTGGACCCGGCAGCCTTATGTCACCTACGAACCGAGAAAAACGCCAGTCAGCCCCTCCTCTTACCACCAAATCACCGCATTTTTAAATCCTCCCTATACGACAAACAACACCCACTATTTTCGAATGCATGGATACATTACGCGTTTCGAGCGAGCCAAAGGGAGATAAGGCCCTCTGCCGCTGGTTTTCCCATCCGTTGAGATAGCGTAAGCATACATATTTATGTGCACGCAATCGTGAGAGCCATTTAAAAGATTACAGCCAAAAAAAAAAAAAAAAAAGAAGAGCGCGATAACTCTTAATAGACTCGCTCATTTCCCCGTTGGTTGCCTCGTAACCCAGTATTTGCCGTCAAACGGGTAAAATATGCCCGAAAATAAGAAGTCACATCCCGTCGCCCTGGTCGCCCGTACACGAGTTTGTCGGCTCTCGTTCGTGGGCGCCGGCTTACGCAACGGGACATCGGTAATTCATCACTCGAGTGCCGGGGTAATGACACGAAAATCGTCCGGTCGCCCCGATAACGCTCACCAAACACCCGCTCCCGGTTACGTAACTGGTGCACGCCGAGCTCAGTGGACTTTTAAATCCAAAGACAAACAAATCCCGCACGATCGAGCCGACCAGGCCCATCGAGAATCGAAGCTATACATGCCCGCGCAACGCTCTTCTTTGAGAAAAACAGCTGTGTACATATATACATATATATATCCAGGGTAGGGGTGGGGGAGAAGAAAAATAATAGAGACGCAGGAAATTTACGGATCGGCGCGGCATGCGGTTACACGGGTATATAGGCCCGAGGGCACGCTGTATCGGGAGGAGGAAAGCTTGACAAATCACCTCGATCACGTCTCTCGGAATGAAATAATTACAATTTACGTGGCAATCCCGGCTCTCGTGCGCTAACCTAACGCGCGAGCGCCCGCGTACGCACAAGGGCCCGACCCGCGAGAACCTCATTAACAAGAGAGTGCGCGCAAAAAATACACCCGGTGCAACTTTTTTTTTTTTTTTTTTCCTCGAGTCGACGACTCGCCCGCGCTACTAATTATCCCCGGGCGTTTTGCCCTATAATTCGCTACCGCCTTCCTATGTATTGCGTACATATACTGCACGCGCAATTTTATGTCGAGCCCTTCTCGGCTACAAGGTTCACACAGCACTCGACCAAAGTGGGACCATATAATATATTATACGTATACGTCCAGGTATTTATTGCCATGAAAATTGACGATAAACGCCCGGTGCAGAAAAAAAAAAAAAAAAAAAAAAAAAAGTGTACGTATATATAGAAATGACATCTCGATCGGCAATAATTGATGCGTATGAATCAATTATTAATTGACAGTGTGTGTTTCGTTGGCGGGACGCGAGGGAGGACGTATGGCGACGGATTATGAGTAAATTGTCCGTATCTCTGTCTCCCCCTTCCCCCCCTCGGTGAAATAAAAAAAAAGTGATCGATGAGCCGTGCTCTTTCTGCTACCGAGGAACAAAATAATTAACAAATTAATGAGTTTGTCCCGTCCGGTTCTCGCTTGTCTCTCGTTCGTTGCGTATTTCGACGTATAAAGATGAATGGGTAATTTATATTAAATTAACCGATCGTTGTTCCCCTTTCGCATCTGCAGGCTATATTATATGTGCGTCTGCATAAGTAATACGCGCTCCCCCAATTGGTAAAAACAAGTGCCAAAGTGATTCCCTCGTCAAGTCGAGAGGGTAGCAATTGCACGAATCCGTCTGCGAATGACTAATTTATTCTCGTTTATTCGACTTTTCAAAGGAATTATTCCAACCACTCGTGCACTCTGGGGAAAAACTGTTTTCTTTTTTTTTTTTCATCATTGTTATACCTACCAGGAATCATATGTATACATACGTGTATGGTATATATAAAGCGCGTTGCGTGTCTCGGAAATCGAGCAAAAAGCGTATTAGCCACGGTGTTTATTGTTCTGTCGAAGGGAGTTTGCTATGCGTGCCGTGCCACGTCACGTCGGGTTATCATTTTAATTTCGAAATGAATTTGTTGCCAATTACGCTGAATTATTTTTAATAATCCCCACACGTTACGCATTATTACTATTCATTCATTAAATCGCCCCGCGGAGCAATAAATTACAAATTCAGATCGCGTGTGTGTACTTTTTTTTTCACTCTTTTTCAGTATATATTTATATGCTCGTTTAGATATAATTTTAATCGTTCATTAATTGCGTCGATCGAATTGGAGCATTTCTTAATTTGTCGAGCGAAAGATGGAGCGGCGTTGCGTAACGTATGTAATCGAAGTTTATCGAATGCGACGAAGAAAAAGTGTGACCCCGAAGAGCATATTTTGAATAATTTTCAAATTCATCTGTTAAATTTCCACTTCATGAGCTATCATTTTCGGGACGCGATTTCTTTAACCATCAAAACAAAGCTTAAAAAAAAAAATTGAATACACACATCAGGAGCACATGAATAAAAAATGGCGAGCCGATCGAGTCGTCCGGTGTTGTGGAAGGGGGGGGGGTAACGATCAGGGGCGTAAAAATAACGAGGGCCATCGATCGGCAATGAAAGTAAAAATAATTTATATGCCGAGAAAGAGGGATCAAGCTAACAAGCATCAGTTTTTACGGGACTGCATGTATGTATGTATCGAAGCAATTGCATTATGGATGGGCCGAGTTATGTTACGTATGACTCTATCATCTCTGAGCGAGAGAGTGTGTACGACCACACCAGAATCATGTTTGAACTCTCTCTCTCTCTCTCTCTGTACACACACGAATATACCCAAGGTAGTTGTTATATTTATATAGGTATATATATGAATGCGGTAAGAGAGCACAGAGAGAGATGGAGGAAGCAGGAGAGCTGGTCGGGTCTATGATGTGTATAGGCTCGCGAGAGAGCAGGTTAGCGGCTCGGCGATCCCCTTCTCGGGCTTTATACGCCAAGCAGCAGCAGCAGCAGAGAATCCCGTAATGGCCGGAGATTTCTTTCTCGGAAGCAGCACGAGTTTCTCATTAGGATCGTCCGTATTTCGCCCGCGCGAGTGATATAAAGAGAGCGGGAGAGCCGTGGTACTTGTAGGTAGGTATATACCTACACTCTATAAGATGCTGCTGGCAGCTATACCTATTATGTGTGTATATAAAACACCTATGTGCCGGGAACATACAGCATACTTATATCATGATGCACCGGAGGGAGGGAAAAACGCCGCGGCGCGCGTTACTTCGTTAGAATTTGAATTAGATGCGTCCACCTATCCCATCAGGGATGGAGCCGCGCAACAGAGGTACGGATATACCTACCTGTGTATGTATGTATATGTAACGTGTTTCGCGTCACGTAGCGCGTGCCGGCCGCGCTAATTGTACCTGAGAAACGCGAGCCTGCACTACCACTCGCGGGCCGATTTGAATGCGCGAGGCACGATCCCCTCCCTCCCTCCCCCCTCTTGGATGACCACCTAAGCTGCACCGGCCGGCCAACGTGTTTTGCAAGGATGCCGCCGCACTACGTGCTCGAGCCGATGCTGGGAAACCGTGCACACACCTGTGTACTCGTATACGCGCTCGGTGTACATGTATATCCTCCCCCTCCGCTCTCTCTCTCTGTGGAAAAAGCGAGCTTCCCAGCACTGCCGCAGCTTCGAGTATTTCCTCCTATTAGCTCCGATGTGTGTGAAAATTACGACACGCTCCGGCTTTGGTTGTACAACAAAACTATCATACCCATGTACGCATCTCTCTCGATCCGCGTCGATATTATATATATTTACGTTAAAACTCATTATCTCACCTGTCTATGCCTGCAGCTCGTTATGACAACAATCATACATTTTTTCACTTATATGAATGAAAGTATGGGTACCCTGACCCCTGATGGTGACTTTGAAGCGTAATCGTCGGGCCGGCCAAAAACAAAACTAATGTGAACAAAACAGAGAGTCGAGGGCCGATAAGTGGGTATGTATATATATTATATAATAATAAAAAAAAACGAGAGCACTAAGGCGCCCCGGCTGCGTCGTCTATAATAATATGTACCAGCTGTGATACATATAGATACCATATATATTATATGCTGATTAAACGGTTACGACATTATAAATACGTATTACGTTACATGTGGTGTATATCATACCGGGCGAGCTCTTTACGAGAGCGATAACAACTCCGTCCGCGGGAAGCAATAAAGCGACGAGTGTAGGTAAACGAGAGGGAAAAAAAAAGAAGAGCAGCAAAGGAGGAAGCCAGAGCAAGTCGCGGAGACTAAATCGAAATGATGATGATAAACAGCGTCTCGCTATGTAATTATTAGATGATTAGAGCTGATGTGTATATATATATGTACATGCGTCTCGAGTGTGTTTACAAGTATAAATATGGGCGTTGGAGCGACAAATACATGAAAATAAAGGATGAGTAAGTGCGAGTGGCTATAATATGATATAATGCATAAGTGGACGGGGTGGTGGTGAGGAATCGATGATAGAGGCGCAAGCGCAATTAAGCTCGCGTGGACGGGTAGTGTAAACTCGCGGCGCAACTAATCTCCAGGACCGGTGACATTATTTACGCAATAAACTGCCCGTGCCGAGCCTTCAACGTATATGCGTGGACGTATATATATATATATGGGTATACGGGACTGCACGTATGTATAACCCCCATACAAACAGAACACGCAAACTCGGGTGCATTGGGTGTCTCCTCGGGTGCGTGAATTACGATAAAAGCCGTGCGCGGTCGCGTTAACGAGCCTATCTTTTCACTTATCTAATTCGAAGGGGCCGAGGAAAGGGGGGGGGAAGAAACAGCAGCCTCCGAGAAAAGCGAGCGAGCCAAGAGGCGTCATGCGAATCGCTCCCGTGCTAATTGGAGCTACCGGCTCTCGATCGCATTAACCAGCACCCGCAGTTCCAATGAAATACATATAGGGGTGCCCGGCCTATACACCCACACTTACTCTGATTTAATTATATTTATTCACGCTCCGGAAAGTCTGCCGCTCCACACTTTCGATACTTCCGCGCTCAACGAGGGGCAAATCGATCACCTATGCCCATCGGAATATATTACCTATATACATATATAACACGTCCCTGCCATTCTCGGGTGTACCCATCTCTTTGCCCATCCCAACGAAATTACGGCCTGGACGCGCAAGTCTATACTTCAACCTGTAATTGCGCTTTCGTTTCAATCGGAGCCATTTTTCACTCGAGTTCAATTAACTGTCATATCAGACGCTAATAGAGCAAGTTATTTTCAAACTCAATCGGGAATCCAGTTTATTTTGATCAATATATATACACACACACATATATATATATACACGGGACTCGTGCAAGCGCAACCTTTAATTAGCCCCATTCTTCGCGCTCTCTTCGCTCGTGTATAGTGATTTTTCTCTCTCCCTTTTTTTTTTTTTTTTTTTTTTTCGCATGAGTCACTCGAGCCTTTCGCTCTCTATTCCGATTCTATGTCGCTCGACCNGAGAGAGAGAGAGAGAGAGAGAGAGAGAGAGAGAGAGAGAGAGAGAGAGATACGTGTATACTATTTCATTTGTATTGTACGAAAAGGGTATATAGAGACAAAGATTTTGATAGTATTTATACGCTCGCGTGTAAGAATAAAATCAATTTTTCACGTATTGTATTATAATTCAATATACCATACACGTATTGAATTGGGTGGCTGCTTGTATGAAAATATGATGATGATGGCGATAATAATAATACATAATATATATGAAAACCGATACAATCGTAAATTCAATGCGATAAGAGAGTGTCCTATTGTGTGCCATGTAAGTGCAGGCAGAGCTACGAACAAAACGCCACGCAAATGGCTTGGGCTTCCCGATGTGACGTGATCTCAATTTAACGGGCTATAGGGGGAGGAGATGACAAAATTGTGCAAACTTTTGTCGATGAAAAGAGAATATAATATGGACTTGAAGCTCGGCAAAAGCTTTCACGCATGCGCGATTCAGTGTGCGAATATACATATGCGAAACTGAGCTTTCGTCAGCTACGTTGGAAGCTCTCGCCGTGTAGCCGTACAACCTAATGATCGAGGAGTAAGGAAAAAGCATTTGTAGGAAGATATAGGAGGCAACGTCCTTGGTTTTGGCGTGTTCACATCAGGTGCCGTAAGTGCCACTCGTTAGGGATTCCCCCGAAACGGGTCTGACTGGTTGCATGAGGCACAAGTATGTACATATATATATACACGAGCGCGGTACTTGTGTGTTATACATGTACTCGCATGGGTAATGTGCCATGCCTCGCGCCAAGTGCAAACATGGCCTCCTACTCGGGCCTCTCCCACCATCAGACGAGAGACGCGGAAAAGCTCGATGCGAGAGGTGGAGGGGGAGAGAGGTGACGCTCGATACGGCTAATGCGCTACAAATTCGACAAATGCAGCTGGCGCGCTAATTATGAGATCTCGCGGGAGAGAGAAACGCAAGAGCACCAACACCTATGTCACATACGCGGGGCCTAGCTCTTTTCCGGGAGATCTGAATCGCAACTATATGTATACATGTGTGCAGGTATGACCTGCTGCAGTGCTACTGTTGCAAGACAAAGTCGCGTGGACACCTTCCACTCCCTCCCTTTCCTCGATTAACGTGCATCATACGATGTCCCTGGCGGGTGAAAGCTTGTGCACCGCTGTCGTGTGGTCGTTACAGCTTGGCGAAACTTTCCTCGCCCAGCGGGACTATTATTATTACTCGTGCTATTTATCGCCTCTACGGCCCGTAAACGTCACTTTTGAGTCAACGAGAGACTCAGTTTTAATTAATTAGAAACAACGCGTATGCCAAAACGATTCACGGTATATACTCTGTGGTCCCCGTTTTTTTATTTTTTATTTTTGAGAGACATGTATAAGGGGCTTACCGTTCGGACTGGTGGGCCCTCCGTGCGGGCCGTAGATGTGCGCGTGGGGGTGCGGTGGGGGCGGTAGCCAGGCGAAGCTGGCCAACGAGGCGGGGAAGCCGGCCGAGCCCCAGCCGGTCGGGCCCTGGAGGTACGAGCTCGGGCCCCGCTGGACCCCCGGGTGTATAGGCTGGGGCACGAGTGGACTGGCCTTGCCCCGCACCGCGGCTGACGCCCCACCGTCGGCGTCCGACTCGGCGCAATCGTCCGAATCCATCACGTTGAGGTCCTCGCTGTGCGCGTCCTCCTGGTCGTGCAGCCTCGTACTCGTCGTGGCCGACTCGTTGTCCCCGCCCTCGAGGCCCGAGTGGTTACCCGGCTCTGAGTCATCAGCGCTGCGCTCGTCGTACTCGTCGTGCTGTTGGTGCTGCTGGCGGAGCGGCGAGTCCGCTTGTCGCTCGTCCGTCTCCTGGATCAACAGCTCCCGGCGAAGCTCACCCACCAGCCGCAACGGTGCCCCACCCTCGGCCGCCGTTCGACTGCTCAGGTCTTTGGCGACGAGGAGCGGCCGGGGCTCCAGCAGCAGACCCCTCGGCGACTGCTGGCCCGCGAATGGACCAGAGTTTTGCAGTACCGCCGAGTGGTGCAGCTGGTGGTGGTGGTGGTCATAGTCGCGGTTGGCCTCGCCACCGACACCAAATAGGAGGCTGGCAGCGGCCGAGGAGGGCGAGGACCGCCTCGTGCCGCTGAGCAGCGCGTCGACGCTGAAGCTGATCTTGCCGCTGCGCGCCGGCTTGAGGCTCGACGAGGCCATAGGCTGCGAGAGCGTGCCCTCGACCGGTGCTTCTTGCTGTTGATGGTCTTCGTGCTCATCCTGTTGGGGCTTGGGCACCGATTGCCTTATATTACCGCCTGCTGTTGCTGCCTCGGTGTTGATGATGCTGCTGCTGCTGCTGCTGCTGCTGCTGTTGCTGCCGCTCATCTCCGGCCGTTGCGCATGTCCAGGCGCGTCACCAGCTCGGCGATCCCCGCCGGCCGGCCATACCCCTCGGTCACGGCAGCACCAGCAACGATATACCCCCTACAACACCTCCTGGGATATTGTCACGGCTAGCCCGTCCCCGGGCCCATGGCCCCCTCTGCCACTGCTGCCCCCGCTGTATATAGGTATACACAACGATACACGAGCTAGCGTCGTCTGCTCCACGCGCGATCGATTACCGCGGCCTCTTGCCGTTTCGGGGAGATGAATTTCTTTTCTTTTCTTTTTTTTTTTTTTTTTTTTTTTTTTATACGCGTGTGTTGTACGTGTGTTTGGGTTATTGGGTTGAAGTGCTGCGAGCGACGACCGAGCGAACGCGACGCGCCGGGGAGCATAGGCGAACGCTGCTTGACGTGCCCGGAGCTGCTCGGCGTCCGCGATCTGCCTCGGAAACGGCACTGATTACCGGCTCGTCGCGCCAAGCAGCGGAACAACCCGGCTCACCGGGGAGAGAGAGAGAGGAGGTGGAGATAAGCGAGCAAACACGAGGGAGAGAGCTAGCCGCGGGTCGCGCCGCCCCCTCGGCGAGCACGGGGCCAGGTGGCGGGGCACGCCCACCAGACGGTGCCGAGCCAATGGGCGCCCAAAGTGCCGGGCCACTCCTATCCCCTGCTCGCGACTCTTCATAAGGTACACACACGCACGCACGGCTCCCAAGGGAGGGGGCATGGGTCTCTCTGCTCTTTCGCCGACGCTCACAATACTACCGGGGCAGGGGGTGGGGGGTGAAACGTGACGACTCCTAATTGTCTAATTCCAGGGCGCGGTGCGCGCGAATTGATTGGCAATCCTCTGCACCTAATAGTAACAATACACACACACACACATGCTATACGCATGCTATATAGAGGCCTCTGCTCGTTGTACGCTTGGATTGATAATATACATATACCTACCAGCGCCCGGGAGATCGCTAACGGATAGAGGGGAGGGGGGTGGCACCAGCTGCGAGAGGGGCATTAATATCCGACGTCGAGCTTACCCCCTCCCCCCCCCTAGTTTTCTCTCCCTCTGTCACGATGATGGCTGTCAATGCGCTACTTAACAATGAACGCTCGCAGAGACGTCAAGTGTGAATATTATACGTATGTATAAGGTATGCTCCCGTATGTCCCGTAAATCGTTCTATAAAATAATTACGTTTCGTTTCTGCCATTTGTTCCCCTTGATTCAATAATGGACAGTTATATTTTAAATGATTATATACATAGATTTTGATTTGATTTGAAAACTGGTTTATTGTGCCAAGGGCATCACAGGGCCGAAATGGAAATTTTGAAAGTATATTAGAACATAGTTACAATAATATCATTAATAACATATAACGAAAGATATTATTAGTCCTAAAAGAGAAATCTCATGAATTTCACTATATTTCTGAGTACAAAATAATAAGCTATAGGTATAGAGAAAGAGAGAGAGAGAGAGAGGTGGTAAAAACAGCAGTGCAGGGTGTATTATCGCCAACAGATCCGAAAAAGGTGAAAAAGATGGTAGGGTTAATCGAAAAAAGTGTAAAAATTTGTTGGGTGGAAGCAGTTAATTTGTGACGCAAATTCTTTGGAGATTTATGCACCGGCGCGTCAGTGCGGAGGAGGAAAAAAAAACCCTTCCTCGTTAACGCGAGGGCGCGACAGCCTGGAAGGGCCAAAGAAAGAAATTGATTCCTCGACGCAGCGGCGCGACGTCTGCGGTGTCGTATACACGTACGGGGCGAGCCTTGAAATTAGCGGAAGGCACGCGAGACTTTGGGTCGAGCCAACCGTACACCTACCGAACAACGTAGCCCCCGAGGGAGCAAATAGGCGCCTCGGTATTTTTTCAGCCCCCGACACACCTCGAGAAAAAACCAAAGGGATAATCGAAGGTAGGGGCGTAAGGTATATATATATATTATACCTATACAATGCAATAATATAATCCGATGAGCTGCGCTGCGGGCGTGGGTGACGGGATACACGAAAGTGTGTAAGGACAGCGGGCCCGCAGGGAGGTGTCCGTCAGTCTCGTTGTCCACGGGAGCCTCGAAACAATCATGGGCGCTAGGTGCGGATTATATGTATACACGTCGACTTTTTTTTTTTTTTTTTCCCCCAATCCTGTAGCTGCTGTTGCAAAGCCTGCTTAGCAAAGCTGTGATTACTGCTGTCAGATATAATATATCCCAGTGATGTATCGACAACACCATTATCCTTTTTTTTTTTCTTTCGCCTTTGGCAAAACTTGTAGGTTCTGCTGTGCCCAAGACAAATTCCTCGACTTTCGTCATCGTCAGCGACGATTTAATCCGAGCCACCGAGTGTAAACAAACCTCACAGCCATTGTTTGCATTATCCGCAGCGGTGAGAATTTTCACGAGATCATGTAAAAAAGAAAAAAAAAAAAAAAAAAGTAGGTACAGCTTGACTGTTCCAGAGATGACAACGCAAATCTATATAGAATTTTTACCATCCAATTGTTTCATTAGTATAAGCATACACGTATAGGTAACGTACAATATAATTAATTTTGTCTATTTTTGATGAGAATCACGCACCAGGTCAACTATAATAATGTGAGAGAGGAAAAGGCCAATAAAGTATAGGTGCATACGTATATATATATATATATTTGGAAGTAGCTATGAAACTGTGTGTGTTGCAGATTACATGTATGTGTTAAAAAGTTATACAGCAGCAGTGCTCTCGACTGCNATTGTCTTGTATATATATATAAATAATTATACCCCGAGTATAAGTATAACACAAAAGGAAGAGAAGCGCAGAGCGTGCGAAAGCTCATTTGCCGCGAACATCGGCGCTAAAGGGGAAGGTACGGTGGTTAGGTACTTAAGTGTATAAAAAAGAAAGATCGTGCAACGCTAGCAGAGTACTTGGTTATACCTACCGAGCACATAGCGCACCCATGCAAGTGGGCATAAATATAGGTGAGCCGAGAGCTGCAGGTCTATTAAAGCAAAGTATAGCTGCAGGCACATCCGTCCGCCCATATGATATACTCGTGGATGGTCGTTGCGGCACTGGAGACAGTAGGTAGAGTACTCTGCAGTGTAGCGAGTATTAGGCAGTTAGTGACTCGGCAATCCAGTTTAGGTACAAAATGGCTGTCGTTTAGCGAGGATTAATGGTCCCCGGGATTCACAGGATCCACGAGTGTATACATATAGGCAAGCGTACCTACCTTATACCTACTATACACCGGGTAGTAATATAAAGGGCCCAATGTAATAATGCTGCAGCAGATGCAACGACGATAGTGTGTGTGTGTGTGTGTGTGCTCGAGTCAACTTCGTTACATTATATACGTATACACCTCTGTCCCAACAGTGGCCTCCATTATGATATTATCCGATGTGCTCTTTTTATATCCCATGCACTACACGCATGAGTAAGAATATAAACGTATTATGCGCGACACGTATGTATATGTCTATGTATATATAGTCTATATAAGCACATCATTTTATTGTGTATGAGCGTTATAATGTACCAGAGTGTACGAGAGGGGTGGAGAGAAGAATCGAGCTGCAGGGATATTATTTAAGTAGACGAGGAGGAGGAGGAGGAGAGAAGAAGAGCGAGCGCCGTTTAGCTGGGCGTTACACGCTCGAGTGGCTCCCCTCCGCAAAAGGACTCCTTTGTCCACACACACACACACACATATATATATATAGTGTGTACTTATTGAAAAGCACGGGGATGGGTACATAGAACCCCGCCAGTCATGAAGTGCGCGTTATAAAGCGCTGACAGAGATTTAGAGTGTATTTAATGTTGAATTAGCCCCGAGGACCCGCTCGTTTTTCCCGATGCTCATCATTTCATATATTCTTGCTTTTTTTTTTTTTTTTTTTTTTCTCCTCTTGTGTCTCCTGTTGGGTGTCACCTATACAATAGGTATATACAGCGCGAGGCCAATGACGACTGCTGCTGCCGCCGCTTCCATTATTCGCGCCTAATAAGCTCTGGGCTAATCGATTGACTTTTAACCATCATCATTCCGGCGTTTATTCCCCGAACTATTAACGCTTTACGCTGCTGACGGTGCGATCTCTCTCTCTCTCTCTTTCTCCTCGGGTGGATGCCCACTGGAAAAAGGGACCCACCCCCGACCGATCCTCTTGTGCGCGTGCTCCCGAGCGTCATACGTCTATACGAGCTCGGCTAATAGTTCCGTGAAAAACCATAAGTATATACACACATACGTGGGTACCTACTCGAGTATCACTCTTCGTCTTTCGTGTACCTACTCTGTGATTTACCAAAAGATATATATATAT